TGTATTTATTCCTTTCTACACACTTTGCAGAATATTTTTCTGCACTCCACGTGTTTAATCTGTGCGCGCTCCAGCGGGGTGACAATCATCCTGTTTATGCTTTACTTTTTCTTTTGAAAGACAGTCTGACTGTCAGCCTTTCCCACAGCGCTTCCCCGCTGTACAAGGAGACAGTAAAGGCTGACTTATAGTCGCGCTTTGGAAGGCGCGCGCGAAGTGGGCGTGGAGTGCGCACGCATTCGGCCATGCGTCGTCGCGCTATGACCGCAGGAGAAACGAGGTCCAGACTCAGCGAGCTTTTGTGTGTCCTGGAGCACTGACTTCACCTGCACTGACAGTCGCTTCGCTGCGCCATGTGCCGCGACGTGCGCTCCTCCCGCAGCAGGCAGTGTGGTCGGTCGGCATCCGACCAGAGCACGCGCCGTCACATAAATATGTAAACAGTTCGGCGTTCATTTTCGCACACCCGAACCAGGTCCGGATAAGTTATGTTTTTTTCCCCCTCTTCATTTGCGCTGTCAGCCACGCTGCTTCCTGCTTCCTCTGTTTTCACTCCAGCTGGTTACATCATCAAAAAGAATTGCGCGGTTGGCCGGTAGACTACAGATCTCTATCATAGGACATATTTATGTCGTTTCTACCGTATATCGTTTATATCACGCATTCCTAACGTGGGGTCACATGGTTCAGTATTTGTTTTCGCACACACTTTTTATAGCCCCTGAGACACACTGCGCCGAGCTCCTGGGAAATCCCTCCCACTTTTGTTGAAACTCAAAACAATCATTGGATGAACGTCTACAACTTTGGAGTCAACCCAATCAAGATGGTCACCACATCTAATTGACCCTAGCAAACGCAAAAATGAATATAACACAGTCAAACTGACAGATGTTGGCTTAAAATTTAATACTTGGTAATACTAACAATATTTCATGAGATTATGTTGTTTCAAAACAAAAAGGTGCAACCAAAACATCTGAAACATCCTCACCTTCTATCAGAAGATCACCTTGATTTAAAACTTTGCCATGAAATGATAGAGGTGATGTTCATTTCTTTAAAGATCACCGCCTTTATTATTTCATTACGATATCTATATTTTAATGTTTAGAAACATTATTGTAACATAAGATGTGCCTCGTAAAGCATCACAGTCTTTGTCTTTGAAGTCCTTCACAAAGGCTGCTTGGAAAATGTCAAGATTGACTTTTTTTTACTTCCAAGCACTCAGAAATTGATTCAGCAAGTGTTATTTATACTTCTAGCAACAAGCACTTTCTTTTGGCCGAGAGAATGAGTCTGTTTTCTCCACCAGGATGCTTTTAAGTTACGCAGCAGCTTCCTACTCAACATATGGTGCAACATGAGAGGGGGATGACACTGAAGTGAAATATCAGGTTTGTTTTGTTCGACTTGCGTCCTGTGTGTTGGTGGACACACTCCTGCTTGTTTTTTTTAGTTAAGACAGATGTTTGAGGCTCGGTTTGGTTTCAGGTTTAATATTTCTTGCAGTGGTTTTGCAAGTTCACATAGTGAAGCTGGTTTTATTTGATTATGGATTTGTGCTTCGTGGTGCTATAAACACACATTTTATCAGAAAGCTGAATGTGTTTGTGTCTGAGATTGGGCGTGGCCGCAGGGGGTGGAACGATGCCCAGGAAGCTGCTGCTTTCCTTCGTTTCTGTCCATTTCCACCCCCACCCCCACCCTCACCTCCCACTTGTCTTCCTCCTCCAGCAATCTGATCATCCATGCACTTTCCTCCCCTCCACCCGCCTCTGCCTCTCCCCCACCCTCGTGTCTCCATCCCCCGGCTGGTCGCGGTGACCAGACATCAAGGTCAGATCTCTCCCTCCCCTCGGTTGCTTCCTCCGTCTTTTTTCATTTTATTCCTCCCTCCATCGACTCTACACTTCCTGTGCACTGATGCTGTTCTCAAATTACCGTCTCCCTCATGTCTGGCCAGTTTTATTTTTACTTCTTCTCATTGTTTTTCTCTTACAAGTATATAAAATAGAAACTTTAAACAGACTATTATTACATAGTTAGTCATCTTGTGTAATAAAGAAATTCTGACTGGAGTGTTTTTATTCTCTGCTCTCTGCTTTAAATCATTATTTGTGAGAACCGGAGCTTTATCTGAGGACGACCCATTAATGTGTCACGTTTCTTTTCAGTGGTGGCCTGAGGTTTTCTAGAAATGAATCCCTCGGCATTATTATAGAAAAGTCAATTAAATGAAGAGCATTTTGTATTTTAGACAGCAGGGGTGTAACGTTCTTTTTTATGAGGGCCACATGAGCATTATGGTGGCCCTCAAAGAGCCAATTGTAATTAACTTCAACTTCGTGTTTAACTTTGACTAAACACAGCTCATTGCTAAGGCTAAGGACTGCTAACCAGAGGTGTCAAAAGTATTTGAATTCATTACTTAAGTAGAAGTATAGATTCTATTTTTTAAAAATACTTTTTTGGAAGTAGAAGTAACAACTCAAGCTTTTTACTCAAGTAAAAGTATAAAAGTACTGGTTTTAAAACTACTTAAAGTATAAAAGTAAAAGTAATAAACACTTTAAAAAGCCCCCCTCCCCCCATATTTCTTCTAAAGTCAATAATGAGTATAATATTAAATTAAAATGTTATTGCTGAAAAATTTGGAATTAACTGACTAGACTAGTTGTTTCAGCCACGATCATCTTCATTCTAGACTCCATCTGCTACAGTCTGTCCTGCTGGATGTGATGTGATTTGTGTCATACAGGTGAGATGGAGTGAATTCAATCCAATAGGGTGTCAGAATGGTATATATTTACACTTCTCATCCAATCACAATCAAATTCACTCTATCCAAGGGCTCCATGGATCTGGATAGATATCTATTTACTTTTTCTGAACAATAAAAATATGGAATAAAAACAAGTCAAAGTTAAATAGAAATGAAATACTTCTTGCATTTTTTTAAAAAGTAAGGACTAGAAAGTACAGATAGTTGAATTAAAATGCAAGGCGTAAAGTAAAAAGTAGGCTGAAAAATAATTACTCCACTAAAGTATAGACAAAATTTCTACTTAAGTAAAGTAACAAGGTATTTGTACTTAGTTACTTGACACCTCTGCTGCTAAAAAACAGTAACTGAGCTCTAACTGGTATTTTTTGCATAGAAACAGTGTTTTAACACGTCCTCTTATAAACACTGAAAAGTGCCGCATGTACGACTGACTAAATGTGAAATAAATAAAACAGAAATACTATTAAAACAAAAATAAACAAGTTTTACTCACTGTTGACTTGTAGTGAGTAGCTGCCCTCTTGAATTCTGAACGCTCTCACTTTCCGACAGGGAATTCCCACTGGAGGTGCCTTCCAGTTTAAAATCACGACTTGTAAATGGGAAACTCCCACTTCCCAGTATAACTGTGCTGCATCAAAACAAAATGCAGTGAAATGGAGATTTTAGGTGAATTTTTCCAGCTACCTTTGATCCCGGTACACCTCCACCTAGTGGTGGGATGCTGTCATTTTATGGGTGAATTAATCAACATGAATTATGGGAGGTGTAGTTTATGGTCATGGCTTTAAAGCAGATTTGTTTAAGACATTAATACATCTTTGAAGCACTTGCGGTCCATGTTTTTCCCATAAGCCTTGAGTTTGACACACATTATTTAAGGGGAAAAATCCGTACTCAAACCTTCGTACAAAACTTGCATCATTCTCAACAGTCAGAGTCTACAAACCTGTGAGTTTACTCATTTGGCAGCGTTCAGGATTTAATGTGCCCTTTCTTCATGTCAATCATCTGGTCCTTCAAAGGGTTTCATATTTGCATGTGAGGACAGAAGGGCGATGGTGGAGAAAAAGGCCCGTCTCCCCTTGGTGTCCATAAATGTCACATCAGAGGCCGAAACTTTTTTATATTGACGAACAACGTTTCTTCTTTTCACAGTCAAGACTATCAAAACGGGATTTTTCAGTCGATCGGCTTTAAGGAGTTTCACAACTACCTGACGGCTCCTGAAGGCATCAGCACAGAGGAGAAAGACAAACTGAGACGCGAAGGTCAGAGAAACACCTGATGACTCTTAGGACTTTAGATTTGTGGACTAATTAACTGAAACATCAGAGGATTTTTCCTCTGCCTCTACTTCATATCTCGTTACTTCTCCAGGCATAGAAGCTTTGAAGATTGCTACCAAGCGTTACGCTCGCAAGCAGAACAAATGGGTCCACAACCGCTTCCTTAAACGTGAGTTTACTTCACTCAGCTCATGAAGTATTGTGTGTGTCTGAAGCCAGTCAGTGACTGTAGACATTGTGTTCAGGCTTCACTTCTTTGTTTTGGTTTTATTACAAGTGCCAGTGTGTAAAGCACTGAAGCATGAGGCATTTTTCTGTTTCTGTCACGACTTCTCCATTTGCTGCTCTTTTCCACAGCTTTGGAAACACCCAGACACAGAATTATATCAAAACATGTCGCTCATTCAAGTATACTGGCAGTAAATCATACAATGTAGATTCAAGTGTTTCACCTACATAGCAGTGTATTTTTTTAATGTCTGAGTTGACATTAAAATATCTTTATGGTTTGCACACAATCGCAGTTGATTTTTGGATATTTTACTATGAATTGTTTGGCTTAAAGTGTGGTAACTCCTGACTCTTTGAACTATGTAAACTCTCTAATATTGTTGCTAACAAAATTTTATTCCTCCTCGAAACTTTACTTTTCTTTTATACATCAAAATATATTTATTTGTTTTTTTATATTCTTTCGTCCAACTTGTTTCTCCCTGCTGAAGGAATTACAGTAAGATTGTCCAGTCCTGGTCGTCAAGGGCCACTAACCTGCATGTTTTTAGTCTTTTCCCTCCTTTTCATCTGGTTTATAAGGTTTGCAGAAGCCTGTTATTCACACATTCTTTCAAATCAAGTGTGTTGGAGCAGAAACAACTCTGAATAATGCAGGATTGTGAACCTCAACGATCATTGGACACCTCTCACTTTTGATTTTCTCTCAAATCCCCTCAGAGTGACGAGTCAAAAATCCAAACTCTCATGACTTCCATTGTATTTGAGCTCAGAATTGTTTCTGCAATTCCAGAATTTTTTTTTATCGTGTCATATCTCCCACATAAAACACAGATTGCTTCAACTTTTTTTAATTCGACCTCTAGTTTCTGAACAGTGTCTGCTTGTCTGAGGCTCACTTTATACTTTGTGTTTCTGTCCGCCTGTCTTAAGAGTGCTGTCAGAGAGTGACAGACAGATGTGTGGTTATCATGGTGACCGTAATGAACGAGTGGCAGCAGCTGTGACGTTTCTTTTGTTCTTGGTTCTCTTTGCTCTCCTTATGTACTTTATGCATCAAAATGTCAACGAATTGTAGGCAGCTGTTGCTTTAACGTCTGGTTTTTCTAGTATTTTTTTCTTCTTCTACCTTTGTCTGCATCGAGTAATGTTTCATTTAACTGCAGTAGTGTTCATGAATGTCTTTGCTGTAAATTTCAGGAAAGTGATTTTACAACATACAGTATACACATTCATTTTAATTTAAACAGCTGGAGGAAAGTTATGGCAGTTGTTTGTGAGGAAATCATAAAACTGCTGCGAGAGGTTAGTTATATTGAATAAGAGGTAAAAGCAAAGAGAAATGACTGTAAAAAAAAATATAAAAGCACACCTTTCAGAGATGAAACCATTACAAATCGCTTGGTTTCAGGCCAGCTATTTGTCCAACTTCTGGTGTTGCCACACTTTAAGCTTTTTTCTTGATATTTTTCTGTCTAATATACTCAGATGTCCAACTACTACAGTGATGGTTTATTTTGGCATCAAGAACATCAGCATGCTAAATTGTAATCTAGTTGAAAAGTTGCTGATACATTTCCATCATGGAAATCAGCAGATTAAACTGTTCACCTGTGATTTAATGCAGCATGTTTGAGCTGCTGTGACTCATCACAGAGACCGTCCTCTCCACACACCTGCAGCTCAGGCCTCTGGCTGTTGTTTCCCCTCACGTAGCCCCTCGTACTTCCAAATGCATGGAAATGAGCTGCTGAGCTCAGCTATGTGCCAAATGGGCTGTTGCAGGAAAAATGGACTGACATCAGGAGCAGAAAGTTTCCAGTCTAGTTGTAACTCCTGGAACCAAATTATGCCTTAGAATAAGCTGAAACTCTGTGTTTTCTAAGTCTCCAAGCAGAAAGTTGGCCTTCATGTCCCACCAGCCGCATGCCTGTCAGTAACCCTGCCTCCTAATCCCGTTAGCTCCGAGTGGCTTAAGGCCATGCCAGACCCTAAACCACAAGGCCGGTCTTTCTGAGCACCAGCCTACACACTGCACACACCATATGGTCTTCACTACGTGTGTGTGTGTATAACTTCTGTTTAACACAAAGGAGTCTGGAGTTGTCTGTGTTTAGCACAGACATGTTTTTAATTGTGTGTTTTGCCTCCTTCAGGGCCACGCTTACAAAGAGCCCAGTGGAAATTATTTCATTATTTTCCAAGTGACACTTTTTGGTTTTTAAGACTTCTGAGTTTTATGATGTAACCACGTTTTGCTTACGTTAAACATGTCTGATGATGTGGTGGAGTAATAATATTTGAATAATTCAATAAGAAAACATGTATTATTTCATGAATGTTGACAAATTTCAACAAAAATACCACCAAAGGTGTTTCAGTTCAACAGGACATTTAGTGCTTTATTAAGGCAACACATTCTGGTGTTTTTTTTTAATCATGTATGTGGATGAATATGAGAGAGGCCCGCACAAGAATTCCAGTGTGGGTAAACTGCTAGTATATGCACAAATGGCAAATAAGGATCTCTATCTATCTATCTATCTATCTATCTATCTATCTATCTATCTATCTATCTATCTATCTATCTATCTATCTATCTATCTATCTATCTATCTATC